CTCTCTCTCTCTCTCTCTCTCCCAAGACAGACTTCATTTTAGTTGTTACGTAATCATCTCTATATACAGTATTCAAACACATCATGACAAATATTTTTGGTAATAAAGTTAAAATATGTTATAGTAGGTTTGACTTCTAGTGTTTGATTTGGGTTTTTTCTAATTCTAAGATGGCAACCCCCTTTCCCAAAAGGAGTATTTCTGGTGTGGGAGGAGTGGGCACAAAGGGTAGGGGCTTCTGTTGGCAAAGGTCAAGGGTTAGAGCAGGGGTGGGCAAAATACGGCTGGATCCAACCCACCAGGCCATTCTGTCTGGCCCACGGGCCCTTAAAAAATTTAGAAAATTTATATTTCTGTCCCTGGCTCCTGTCAAAGATCAAAGCACTGCTCCAAGCGGCACTGTGAGCATGGCGACAAGCGGCAGGTGACAGCAGCTGAGCCTGCCTCCTACAGCGTGGCCATCACAACCATGCTGGTGGCCCCAAGGTGAGCTGCAGGGGCTGCTCCACCTCGCTGCTGTGGCGACAGGTGGCTACCCCCGCTGCTTCCGCTTCTGCTGCTGCCCCTGCCACAAGCCCAAGCACCGCTTGGTGTATGGCTGCTTGTGCTCAGTGCTGAGGTGCCTGTGGTGGCTAGGAACAGCAGCCATGGTGGCTGCAGGAGTGGTGGGTATGGGGCTGGTGGTGGCAGCAGCTGCATGGGGAGTCAGAGCGTCACCCCACCCCAAGTGGGAACACCACAGCGGCAGCAGCCGCTTCCACAAGTGGTGCTGCAAACATAGCGATAGGGAGGCAGCAGCAGCTGAGCCCACCTCGTCCACCCCTCTACGCTGAGGGGCACCACAAGGGCCACTCCGCCTCATGTGGCAGTAAAGAGCAGGTGACCAAGGCACACTGCAACTGGCCCAAACTGCGAAGCCATCAGCCAGGTCCCCTCTCTCCCTGCTGGCAGCCCAGGTCGGCTCTGTGGACCCATGCTAGCCCACACCTTGTGCTCCTGCCAGCCCACTTTTGGTCCTGCTGGCACTAGCCCTGGGACACTGGTGCAAGCCCTATATCCACTCTCTTCTATTGCCCCTGCTGTCTGCCACCACTTTCCCCAGTTTCCTGCCCGCCCACTGGCCGCTGTGCACTACATGTCTCCCATTCCTACACACACATTCACACATCCCCACAAACTCCACACCCACCCACCCATACCCCCCTGACACCCATGCACACCCCACACAATATACGAATAAGACTGCATTTTGCAGCTAGTATGCAATCACTTCTACATATACAGCACAAATGCAAACAAGACTATTTTTTTAATATTTTAAATTAAAATATACTTTCAGGGGCAAGGGGAGGGACTTCCAGTGGCAAAGGTCAGAGGTTGGGACAGGGCTTCTGGTCCCAAGTTGGCAATCAGGGGGCAAGGCATCTGTCAAGGGGCGGGGCTACCCATGCAGCCTTTGACAGCTTGCCAAAACTCATTAAACAGCTTTCTGTCCATAATAATTGCCCACCCCTGGGTTAGGGGCAGGACTTCTGGTTGCAAAATGTTGACCAGGGTGCAGGACAACTGTTAAAGAGTGGGGCTACCCATGCAGCCCTCGACAGCTCTTCAAAACTTGTTCAGTGGCTCTCTAGCCAAAATAGTTGCCCACCCCTGCTGTACAAGGAAAAATGTTTTGGTTTTGTGCTTATAGTAGCTGCTCTGTGAGGAACTTTCTTGGAGAAAGCTAGAGATGTAGTTAGCTCTGTTGGTCTGAATTCAGGCAGAAGGCAGGGGAGGGTGGCACCTGAGGCCGTGTCCAGATGAGTGCAGCCGTGTGGTATGTAGCACCACAGACATGTCTGCTGCACCACATACTACACATCCAGCTGTTCTTCATGCTGCAGGGTAGCAGCACGGGGGGCTTGTTTATTTTTTTGACCACGGGAGATCCCAGGGTCAAAAAAACTAGCACAAAGAAAAGCAGAGCAGTGCACATGGGGGCAGCACACACTGCTCAAAACCAAAGGCTGGCTGACTGGGACCACACTCCAGCTACCACCCAGCTTCTGAGTGGCAGGATCGTTGTTGCTGCAGCCCCAGAGGGCTCCCAGGACCCCAGGTAAGGCTGCTGGGGCCCGCCTAGTGCTGGTCCTAGCCTCCCCTACTACACCCAGGCTGATCTGCCGTAAGCCAAAGGGCACATTGTGCAGGCATTACCTGGGGACAATTAGCAGCAGCACATGGTGTGCTGCTGCTTCTTGTCCCCAGGGAAACAAACATCCATGTTCATGTGGATGCAGCCTTAGACACTAATTGGTTCAAAGAGGCATGTCCTATCATAAGTGACAGCATATTTTATCAGATGCTGTGAATGGATTTCCAGAAAGCTGGGGGTCTAAATAGAAGAGAATTTACATGCAAAGAATAGTGGGAGGGGGCACTGCTAAGAAGGTGGGTTGAATAGGTCACTAAGAATAAACAAGGTAATTAATCCACTGAAAGACATAGAGGTTAAAAAGCTTGTGCAGGTCATAGAAAAAGAATCCATAATCTCTGCTGAGGTCCTAATTAACATAGTCCAGTTTGTGGATGATTCTTTATTCTGCAATTTCATGTTTAAGTTGGTTTTTTAAGTTTTGTTGTTTAACAGCTGCTACTCTGAGATCAGTTATGGAACATCCAGACAGGTTAAAGTGTTCTACCAAAGACTTGCATGTATTTTCGGAATTGATGTCAGATCAATGTCCATTCATTCTTCCATGTAGGGATTACCCATGTCTGTCCAGTGTAGACAGCAGAGGGATGCTGTTAGCAGATTAATCAAGTCTTCATCAATACTCTGTAATTGCAGCTTGTTGGAGCATCTGTGCATGTCTACAGGCACCCCATGTGTTATACTTAGTGCCCCCTCCTTCTATCCCTTGTGTTTAAATTCACTTGTTTAGAACTGCTGCTTTCTGCAAGTCCTTTTCTAGAATCTGATGAAATAGGCTGTTGCCTCTGAAAATGAAAGCCACCAATGCCTTGCCTTCTGGAGAAAGATCATTTTGAGGAAAAAAAAAAAAGAGTTCCAAAATTAATCTGAGGTATTTGTACCTCTTAGGGGAGTCAATTGTTAACTGGGATCCTTTTGAAAGAATAAAAATTCTGTTTCATACAATCGCAATTTCCCCTCTTCTACCTCCCGTTGCACTCCCATTGCAGACATGTTGTTGTGGTTGAAGAGGAGAAATGTTCTCTCAGCAGGCTTAAAATATGAAGACTTAGATGTTGGACTTAATTTTTTTTATTCACTTAGACCCATGTTCAGAATTAAGTAGTGGAGTGATGAATTCCTGCACCTCTGTATTACTGGGCAGATGCGCTGCTGTGCCTCGTACTAGTTGGATCTCTTTAAAAATACGTACCTTTGTTCCTAAGCAGGAAACTTTCTCAGAGTTTCACCTCAGTCTTTTTGGGTTCAACTTTAACCAGTCATCTGTGTTGGTTAGTCTCACCATTACTGCTTGTGCTGTATTTCAGAGTGCTCTCATCTCTTTCAGTTATGTTCTCCTTAGAGGGCAGGTCTACCATGGTCCAACCATTGCTGGCAACCTTCTCCTACCCCTCAATTTCCTAAGCAAGTTAACCTAACCTCTATTGCATTTGGCACTTAAGTCTTCTTTCTATAGGACCCTCTGGTAGTGGCTGATTTTAGTGATTCAACTTCAACAATTCAGCTAGCAACAACTTCAAAGCGTTATTTGAACGAATGAATAAATGCACCAAAATTGCATAGAAAACAGTTAATAGGGGACAATAAGGCATATTTCCCCTTGTACATTTGTAAGCTCCTCTTCGACCTACCCAACCCAGCCTTTAACTTGGAGAATCTGCCTGTCTTGTTTAGTATCCTCTTTTTATTCCTATGAGTCTCAGCCAGCGTGGAGTCTGCTGACAACCCTGTTTTCATTTTTTTTCCTTCAGAGCCAACATCTTTAAGGCTTTATTATTCCCCTTTGATTCTGGGACTTTGGCCTGGGGTGACTGCACATTGCCAGACTGTCTGGTGCCATGCAGGAAGTATTTCACCAGTTAATGTTTTTCCCCATTGTTTCTTTAAGAGTCACTGGTATAGATTATAAATAGTACCTTGTCTTTGCCACTGTTTATTTTCTCCATTTATAACTCATCTTGCTCTAGCTTTTGGCACTCAGGCAGATGAACATCAAAACAGGTAAACTGAGAGGCATATGCTACTTGTAAGGTGGGGTGGGGGGGAAATACCTCATTCTCTACAGTTGGTCATTGAGAAAGCTAAAAGAAGCCTGCTTGTATTTGAGATGAAGGTGGTATAGATCTAGGTATTATCTGTTTGACTGTTGTTAGTTTCCCCAGGTGAGAGCTGTGAAGGTTGCGGAATAGATTTGATTTAATAAACTGATATAAAGATATATTTTTTAAAATTGCTCTTTTACTTGCAAACAGTTTTTGTTTAGTAAGTTAAATATATGCAACAATAGTTGCAAGCCAAAAGGAGAAAAGTTAAAGGAAGATCCTGATAGGAAAGAATCTTGAAAGATTATACAGATATCCACAGTTATTTGGTAAATCTGTAGAGGTGTTATCCAGACAGTTCAATTTGTCCTGCTTTTTGGCAGTGAAGGCCAGTTTTCAAAAAATAGCTTTAGGTTTTGCACCCCACCATCTGTGGTTGCAATCAGTTGCAGGTAAAACTGGTGAAATTTGAAAGTGTATGTATTTTTAATGTTATTCCTTATGAGGGCCTTTAACCATTTTGGCACTGGCTTTGGTTGTTTTTTCACAAAACCTGAAGGACGTTTGACCCAATGATTTACCTTGTTCTCTGTGTTGCTTTTCCCACCAACATATTCCAGTAGTTTACGCTATGACAAGGCTGTCCACCTGCTGGCCTGCAGGCTAGTTGCAGCCCACAAGGGGTTAAACTAAGGCTCCCAGGCTGCCACCTGGCTGCCACTCCCCTCATTGCTCTGACTGCAGCAGCAACTCTGGGCTCCAGACTACTCCTCCCTCTGGCTTCCCTTTTCCCCTACTCCCACCCCAGTCCCTATCCTAAGCATGGGGTAGTCAGTGCAGCACAGCCCAAACTTCAGTGTAAGGGAGCCTGCAGCCATGACCACCTAGGTGGCACAGTACAGTGAGAAGCGTGACTTGAGATGTCAGGAGCAGCAGCGGGAGATGTGCACTGCAGCAGGGAGCAATGGGGAACAGCAGCAGGGGAACATGAAGCCAGGGCATATCCAGGAGCACGGCATAATGTGGAGATGCAGGGAGCAGCCACAGCAGGGTGGGAAAGGGAAATGCAGTGCAACAGAGGAGCCCTGCACTCTCTACAGTGGTAGGGGGTACCTGGGAGTGGAGTACAGCAGCAGGGAGTCGTGGGGTGCAGCAGGGGGTTATGCGGTTCCTAGGTTCCTATAGCACCCACTGGTGTGACCCCTACTAGTGGGGCCTGAAGAGCATGCACTTCTGGTGACTTGGAAGTTGGGCAGCCCTGTGCCAGAATGGAATGTATCATACCTGAAGGCTAATGCTTTCTCAAAAAATCCATAAGCAGGGTACTTCTGATGACCAAGATCTGTGACATGGTGAGCAGCTTTAAATCTGGTGGCTAATCAGCCTTGGTCAGGATTTTTTTATATATGCTCTTAGACTCATCATTTTGAGTTGTAAAATAGTAGGACTTTAACAAAAGATTATACTGAAAGGTACTGAAGATACAGTACCAATTTTTTCTTTAGTCTCTAGTTTTCTAGTACACATTCGGTATATAATATTTCTAGCTCTCCTTGTTTTCTCGTTCCCATTGTCTAATCAGATTGTTCAAGTTTTGGGGTCCTTGTTGCAGAAAAAGTAATTATTATAGTATGATTTATGTGGGGTCAAAGTCTACATGGGACACTAACATCACAGTAACTTAATTCTACTGCACATTAGCACAACTGGCAAAAAGCATTGTAATGCACAGTAGAATTACTGTACTGCATATGACTGTCACATAAAAACTGTTAGTCTGTGCTATTGCACAGTAGGACTGATTTACAGTGCATTAAGCTTAGTACCTGTAATTACAGGTACTAAACTTAATGCGCTGTAATTATGGCACATTGAACATATAGACATGCCCAATGTGTAGTTCCACCGAGGATAGAGTTTAGGTCCTGGTCTGTGCTGCTGCCGAGACCACCAATCCAAGGAATAACCTAAGCTATTAACATTTGAAGTGGTTTTAAAGCAAGATAAAGGACTGTGAATTGTGAGGAACTAGAGGGGATACTGGACAGTTCCACTTATGTTACAACTGAATCTGAGATAGTCACTAACTTGCGATAAAGTGTTGGAAGGAATTCAGTACCTAAAGAATAGAAAGACACTGGGATTTGACAATGTTCTGCCTGAACCCATTAAAGAATGTGGACCATAGCCAGCCAGGAGGATCTGCAAGCTAATTCTGTTGATCTGGGAGAGAGAAAAGATGTCCGATGAATGAGGCAGTTATATACTCAGTTTATAAGAAAGCTGACAAAGCAGAGTGTAAAAACCACAGAGGGATAGCTCTGCTGTCAGCTACATATAAAATATTGTCATGCATCTTACTGCAAAGACTTCGTCTACATATGAGAGAGAGTATTATCAATGTGAATTTTGCAGGGGTAGATCCACAGTAGGCTAGATCTTTGCTAGTCTTATGGAAAAATATTGGAAATAGACTTTCATAATCTGTTTATACAGTTTAAACAGGGTTATGACTGTGTACAGATAGAGCCTTTGGAACACAATAGTAGAATTTGGATTCCCTAAGAAGCTCATAAAAATGATTAGGGTGTGTCTGATGGACACAAAAGGGAAAATTAAAGTGGATGAAAACCTCCTACTGCTTCCACAATTGCAACTCTCCTGAGACGAGGTGATGCACTTTAACCACTGTTGTTCAACCTGGTGTTGGAACAAGATGTCAAATGGTGACTGAAATTAAAGGAGTCCTACTTGGGATAACACAGTATTTTTAGGTATGCAGATGACTTGGACATCATATGCAACAACACTAAATGAAGAATGTATAAAAGTTTAAAATGCACAGCCAAGTGAGTAGACTTATAGTGGACATTGAGAATACCAAATGTATGGCAGTCATGTGAAAGAATACA